TCCAGAATTACCACATTTCATTACAAAGCCTTCCCCTTCCGTCACGGTTAAAGAGAAACAGAACGTGACACTACATTGTAAAGCAGCTGGGTTCCCACCACCCATAATCACGTGGTACAAAGATGGTCAGGTTATAGAACAGGAAAGAAGACAGTTTAAGAAAAGAAAGTTGGAAATAAGGGAAATTCAGTTTGCGGACCGCGGTATCTACATCTGCACAGCGGAAAATCTTTTGGGCAGAGTTCAGCTGTCGGTCAATGTAACTGTCAAAGGTAAATAACTTATCAGTCATGTACTAAGCACTATATCTAAGAAATCTCACCCTCGTTAGACCCCTGTATGTCTGAATGCCTCAATATGAAGTCAGATTTAATTCGTGACAAGGGTTTATCTTACTGGTCAGCGTCTATAAAACGCTTACATGTCACCTGATAATGCCGTCACCAGGACACCTGAACTTCGTTGATTTTGGTTTACTCCTTGCTTGTCCTTGTGTCATTTATTGACAGAGGCATTTAGACGGAGAAAAATAGTTCTTTGAAGTCTTTGTTGCAAAACTGGAACTCAGTTTATTTACACCGATCACAGATTCTCCGTTGAAAAATGAAATATATAAAAACATAAATAAATAAATAAATGAAATAAAAAAAAAATAATAATAATTGCTCATTATTATTAAACGAGGAGATTAGAACAATGCATGACCATGTTATTTCTCTTAATTATTTTTTTGGTTCTATTTCCAGTACCAACAAAATTCGTGACAAAACCAAAGAAATCAGTAACAGCTTACAAGTCATGGGACACAGCCCTCAAATGTGATATCTTTGGCTATCCCTTCCCTGTGATCACGTGGTCAAGATCACTCAAGCAACTTCCAATCAACAGACATGTCATTGATGGTAACAAACTCACGATTAAAAACACAACCGAGGATGATGATGGTGCTTACGTTTGCCAGGGAGCTAATGAACTGGGGAGTATGATGGCAGTGATATGGATTTTTGTAAAGAATGTCGGTAAGCTGAAAATCTAGAAAATATGTATCAATTATTGGGAACGAAAGCGAATTTCTAAAAGTTATATTTACTCTTTCTTTAGTGAATCCTTACATAGTGTCAAATCCTCCAAGTGAAATTCAAGTGCAGAATGTTGGTGATTCAGTCAAGTTAAATTGTTCTGCTCGTGGCTCGCCGCTGCCTAGCGTCAAGTGGTTCAAAGATGAGAATTATGTTATTCCTATCGCAACACATGACGAGAAGGATTTAATAAAGAGTGAAATTCTTATTCCTCGTTTCAATTCGAGTGACGCTGGTAACTACAGCTGTGTATTTCAAAACGACAAGAATGGAACAGCCACAGCCAGGACAAGTTTAGGTAGGTGGATAATGTTATCATTCTCAAACTTTTAATAGTTCATCATGTTTAACCCCCCTCCCCCAAAAATAAATAAATAAATAAATAAATAAAATACAAAAACATGCCTCTTGTTTGGATATCTTTATATTACAATAAAAAGTCAATGTAACAGGCGTTCTTAATTTTAAACAGCCTGCTTTATTAGAATGCAATTTGCTCTCATACTGTGATAGCCTCTGTGCGTTCTATGACGCCATGAGGCTGTTGCAAGTGAAGACGGTAAAACCAGTTCGAGGCTAGCTTCTTTCCAAATGCAAACGTCTATGACGCACACACCCCCCAAAAAAAAATCATAAAAAAGGCGCGACCATGCTTTGTTCTGTTGTAAAACACTCGAAGAAATGACAAGAGAACTCCAGAAGCAGGAGGAAAAACTCGTCTATCGCCTTGTGTCTCACCCTACACTTCTTCTGTGCTCTCGTCACTTCCTTACGTTCTTTAGGATAGGACAAAACCTGTAGGGCAATTAATATTTGTTAATTAAAATTAACAATTATACTTTGAAATCGAGGTGAATCGTGACAGAAAATTTTCCGAGCCTCGCGAGGTAGCTAGGCTCAATTACCAGCCGCTAGTTCGGGAAAGGAGCCCGCGCTCCTGCCCCGAACTCACGGCTAGACTCCTAGACTTGGTATTGTGAATTTCAGCCAATAAGAAATCTGCTTGCCTGAGTCGAACAGGTTGCATAAATTAGCTTTCTCGCAGTGGCAAAGAAGTTGTGCAATATGAAGTGCGATCGCATTAGTGGGACA